GAATTAAGACAACATTTTCTGCATTTTACGATGTTCAAGTCAAAATAAATAATGATAATAAACAAAAAAAAAAGGAAAAAAAGCAAAAAAAATCAAAACAAAACAAACAATTATATTTACAAAATCTTGACGTGCACCTAACAATAGAATATAGAATATTCTGTCATTTTATTTAATTAAGTATTACCTATTTCTAAATATATTTTTACGTTTTAAGCGATTTACAAAAGCCTTTTGAAAAAAAAAATATATATATTTATATATATATATACATATTCTAGTAATGGCGTATATATTATACCGTGCATAAACAAAAATAAAAATTACATGTTTCACACACTCGAGCACACGTACTATACGCATATATGTTCATATTTATGAACACGATAAGAAAAACAAAGTACAAAGTTTACAAAATAAAATCGACGTTATTGTACAAAAACATGTCGAATGAGTTCATTGTAATTAAGAAAAATATCAATATTTTTTTTTAATAAATCTGTCATTATTATTTCATTAGATATATGTAATTGATATAATTTAATAATCCGTCATGAGATGATTGCAATTAGAAAGATATTATTAATAATTTATTATAGTAAGTTTTGTTTATAGATTTTTAGTCCGAATGAAGATATCAACGGTTCAATTAACGTTATACAATTGATTTGATTAACTGTAGAATTTTAAAATCAATTCTTATGCTGATTCGACTTTTAATTCATATCACTCCTTGATTACATAAGTACAATTAAATTGATACTCGATTATTCTAATTATTGCAAGTCTATAAAAATGTACAAGTATTCATTATTTTTCGATAGTACCAATAAGAATCTTTTGCAATGTAAATATTACAGTCAGCCCGATTAATCGTACATTTAAACAAAAATGACCTTTATTATGTATTTATATAATTCTATACGACAAGAATCTTACATTACAAATGCAATAATTCAAAAATATGGAAAAATCACGATGAATATTTTAAAGAATAGCAAGCACAATGACTATTAAGTTTCCTTGCATTACAATCTTTCTGCAAATATTTTCAATATAAATTAAAGTCATTGCTAACACACCTATTTTATCGTAGAAATATGAAATTACCATTAACTGATTAAGATGTTCATTCATTATGATTCATCAACAAATAATAACGAAGTGACATTTTTTAATTCTTTATTATAAAAAGCGGCCGATGCGTAAGATGTATCTTCATTAAAATAATGATCAATCGAAACGCTACATTGCTAGTTGCTATACCGTAGTGGTCAGAGAGAGAAAAAGAAAAAAAATAATTCAAAATTATGTCCTACTTCCAACTTCTTAAGAACTTCAAAATACGTGCGATATAAGTAAGTTTTATGAAATCGGAGCAATGTATGCAATTGGCGTAGTGAGGATTTGCGCACCGCGTACTAAGAGAGACTAGTTTCGCTTACTTTTACGCTCTGGCCATTATTACAGCTCATGCACGCTACAAAATTATCTGGATTTCGCTATGTTGATGCGTAAGTAAAGACGTCCGAACGATTCTCGAGTGTTAGATTATCTGCTTGCCAGTGTCTATCTTTGTGTACGTGCTCGTTTGTTATGTGTTGTTTGTGGTGCGATATGGTGCGGTGCCGCGCGATGCGCGCTTCTGCTAAAACAGAGATAGAGCTTGGTAAAAAGCGTACGTGCCATAACCGTCTTGTTTAATTAAGCTTTATCGATTAACGTAAACTACTGGGAAGTGAACAAAAGCACAAAATAATCTTAAATCTAAGTTCATTGAATAATGGTGAAAAAGTGAAGTATACATGTTAATCTCGTCAGGTAAAAAATGTTTAATTCCTTCGTAATCATGTTCAATGCAGAAATGCAGGAATTATAATTGAAATAAAAGAATTTGTTGATGTATTTTTTTTTCTTACTGAATATTTGGGATTTTGAATCCATTTTAATTCGTTAAATTTCCAATAGTATTGATAATGATAAATGATAAATAAATTGCTCGAGAATACACTTTCTTATTAATATGACGGGGCATTCTTTAATTTAAATATTTTTAATATAATTGAGTAATGGCTACCGATAAGAATTTATACGCGCAGCGCTCTTAGAAACATACATTCGGGAACATAATAATACAGCATGAATTAGCACTTAAATAATAATTGATATGCTTATATATATATATATATATATATATATATATATAGTTGCATTTCTCGTGTGAATTTATTATTTTCAAAGTAATTCATAATTTCATGGTATTTATTAGTCATTGAGAGCTTTAAGGGAAATTTATGAGTTTATTATCATAATAAAATCAAACGAACGTTTATGAATAAAACAATATTGCAAAACTTGTTCCAAATATTTTAGAAAAGCATGCAAACATCCTGGCATTCTTATATACCGAAATACAAAGAGCAAATCGAATGTTTGCGACTGCACAAACATATACTTGGTATATTTAATTAATTATCCGGATAAGCAACGAGCTACTAATCAATTCACTAATTCCTTGACATAAATATCCTTAAAACCAACATTAACATTGCTAAACATGGCTTCATGTCGCTGTTATAACAACAATACTACGACTTATAATCCACGTATCCAATGAGCTATACTTTTATCGCAATGCATCGTTCAAGTGTATCACAGTGGTGGCGAGAAAAGATCATTTGCCTTTGGAGACAGAAGACACGTCACGAGTTTCGTAGGAAAACGAGTGGCTATATTTACAACTACGGTCTACAACTGGCGCCCGTTCAGAAATCGCTTCTCCCGTGGACTCAAATAATTGCATCTTGTTTCCCTGCCCCCAACTCTCCCCTCCAACCTTTAATGTATTCGCTGTGCGTGGAATTCGCGGTTGGAGTAATTAGAGCAACGACGCGGTAAGTCATCCATTGCTTTATTATTTACTCCGACCTCATGATTTTATCATTAGGGTATTCATTACAAAGTCTAATGTTTAAAGGATAAGGAACATTTTTCACTTATTCCGCTAGAATAGTACTTTTAGATTGTAAAATGTACTCCATTCATGCGAATTCCGCAGTCAATTTATATCAGATAATCTGTAAAAAAATAATTTTGAAAATTATTTTCTCCTTTTGTACAACTATAAACGATTCCCGCCCGTGCCGCTTACATTATACCTTGGATCTATTGTCTCTTACGTCAATGCTTCTGAATTTATTAATTTGTCTATGCGCGCTTCATGTATCCGATAGCGAGCGTCCGATCGGTCAGAGATTACCGTCACAACGAATTCACAACGATATTTATCTAAGTAGGTCTAGGATAGAGTAGATTCTTGGACATTTGTAGTTTACAAACTTTAAGTTGTCCGATATCCAGTCGGCCTATTTTTGTCTGCAGTTACACACGTATCTCTATGCACATAGGTAAATTTGCTCGACATAAGTAGAGTTGCTCGATAAACGATTTATGACAATAGTTGTTTATCGAGAAATCAAGCAAGACGTATAATTAATGAAATCCAAATTTGTAGGACTTCTAGGAACGTTATCGTCATAAAATTATTGTGAAAATATTTATATTATTAATCGAAAAATGTCACTTTACAGCTTGTATAACAAAGCTCGTTCGAAATTATGGTTAATGATTTATTATAAGCGCTTATTCAATTCCTAATATATAATACACTGCTTAAAAAAATCAATAATAGGATTAAGAAGTATAATATCGATAAAGCGATAGTTGCCAGTAAATTTAGCAATTAGTAAATTACGAACTATACAGAATTATTAAAATTATGAAATTAAATTTTTAAATACAAATTGTTTAAATTACTTTTTAAATGCACTCTTACTTTTTCATCATTTTCATATATAAACAAGTCGAAAGATAGACGTAACTGAGAATATATAGGGAAAGCGTTATTTAAATAAACTTCTATTTTTGCAAAACAACATGAATTCTGCGCTTTTTTTCTGCCATTTTTTGTGTAATTTTTTTATATTACCGTAATTTTACGATATTATTTCTAATATATATTATAAAACATATTTTTATAGTAAGATTTCAGAAAATAAACGCAATTGAAAATTATAAATGTAGCAAATGAATATAAAGATCATCATCTCACGACTAAATGTAATATTGAATAAATTAATTCTTTGAAATCGTTTATTTTAGAAATTAACAATTTCTTTAATGACTTTTTTTATCAATATTAAAATTTAGTCCCTAAGAAAATGAAATTTCAAAAGACATCAAAATCATTATTCTTAATATCAAAAACTAATTGATGTTATAAGTAGTGATGTACACTTTTAATGGACAAATATGTTGTACATATTTCGAAGACTTCAATGTAATGGTTAAATTATTAAGAAAAATTTAATGGTCGTGTATAATTCATGATATCTTAAGTAAAGATACGTATAATACTTTGAGTGAAAACAAATGAGAGTTAAAGAGGAAAGAAAAGAAAGGAGAAACGGTTTAAATGAAAATTGAAAAGGTTTTGTTTTTTCACCTGTACGTTCAATAATTGATATTGGTAAATTTATTTGTAAATTTATATACAAAAATTTATTGGTAAAAATAAGTTGAAGAAAAAAACAATTTTTTAAAGCTCGTGTAGAAAGTGAAAAATTGTGTTATGTAACGCTTATATTGTAGATCTTTGCCAACTACTGATGCCGGGCAGAAATTTTTAGCGATTATATGTCTAATATTACCAACGTATTGAAAAGTAAAATCATACACATGAATGCTTGATTTGAATAAATTTAATTTGCTGGTTAGTTCAAAGTCCTTCATATTTACAGAGTCGCGATACCAATTCGTAAGATTATAAAAGTCCACCTAATTGAAAGAATTCGGATAGCGACAAATTATAGAAGATCGGCTATAATTGAAGCCTTAAAATGTATTCCCACCGTTTTGTTTTTGCCCCCGCCCCCCAAATCTCGAGTTACATTTACAAATAGCCATATTTTCGGGATTGTAGAAAGTGCGAGTGCGAGGATGCAGAGTTGGAGCCGAGAAGAGTTTGGATCGGAGGACGCGCACTTCCGACTGTACTCGGTCGTCGCGAGGTGCAAGCACGGGATCGTGAGAAGGCTGGATCTGCTTCTATAGTACAACAGCCTCGGAAGGATGACGGTGTCCTATCAGTATGAGGTCGCCAGCTCCACCAGTGGCGGCTTCACCCGTCTCCTTTTCATGTGGCGGGGCTCCCTCTACAAGCTCATCTACCGGGAACTCCTCCTGTTCCTCGCCCTCTTCGGCGCAATTTCTGCCCTGTATCGTCACGCTCTCAATGTCGACCAGAAGAGGGCTTTCGAGCAGATCGTCGTCTACTGTGATACCTTTATCAATCTAATACCGCTGAGCTTCGTGCTGGGCTTCTACGTGGCCTACGTAGCCGGTAGGTGGTGGCAACAATACACAGCCATTCCTTGGCCTGACAAGTAAGGTTCCTTAACGTCAACCAACTTCACGATCTTGTCGTTTTAGTTCTGCCGATACAATTAGCGATCGCTCCTAGATATTTTCCTATGAGAAATCATTCGACTACTTTGTCTTCAACTTTATGCGGTGTGAATATTAACATTTTCTAGCACGGCTGCACAAAGCTACACAATAATATGTAAATACAATGATTTAGAAAGTGAGCGAATTCGCACATAAATAGATATTAAATGTAACAAAACAGGAGGATTTTATATTCTGAGAGAAGGTCGCGTTCTTTTCGCGTGTTAATGAATCTATTCGGGCATTAATTTTATTTTTCAGGCATTGGATAATGTGCAAATTTCTCATATATCATTCAATTAATCGCGCCTTCAAATCGCATAAACGAAATGAAACATAGCATTTCGCAACTGCTAAAATCATCATAAGGGAATAATACATTTGCTCATAATATTAATCGAACGAATAATAAATTGTTACATCTCTAAACGTAAATGATTTTGGCAGGAGCATTTCTTGTAGAACTATGACAGAACTTTCTATATATAAAATGCTAATGAATTATTATATCACAACGTTTTAATTGCTGAAATTTCCGAAACTCAAGAGTAATGCATTCAGTCGCTCTTTACGTCATCGGAAACGACGAATACGGACGAATGGTACGGCGGGCACTGATGCGATACCTCAACCTGTCGCTCATTCTTGTTTTACGATCCATCAGCTCGGCCGTTAAACGACGCTTTCCTACTCTAGACCACGTTGTGGATTCTGGTAAACAAAAAACAAACAAAAAAACAAAAAAAACAAAAAAAAACAAAAAAAAACAAAGAAAACAAAAAAAAAAAAAAAATTCATTGAGATTCTTTGATAAATCATTTGCTTATTTTCTAATTAAGCATCTTACATATGTATAATCGTTTCAATAGGCTTTATGACCTCGTTGGAGCTGGAACTTTTTATTTCTGTGCCAAGTCTTGAATTTAACACTTACTGGATTCCTTGCACGTGGTTCATCAATTTACTGAAAGAGGCGAGGACGAGCCATCGATTACCCGACGCTCAAGGCTTAAAAATTATAATGGAGGTATATGCACCACACCTTATATGCTTTAAAAAAAAAGAAAAAGAAAAAAGAGGTTCTTATTTCAATTAATTTGATCTGCTCAGACCATTCTCAGAATTTAGTGTATAAATTTAACATTAAAAATTAATCTGGAAAGGCATCATTATGAATTGACAATAATACTTATTCCGAATTAGATTGGATATCGTAATGAGAGAATATTAAAATAATTTGGATAAGTTTTGGGCAAAAATTAACAAATAAATAATTAAATCAGTTAACAAACAAAAAAAAAACAAAAAAAACAAAACACAAAATACAAAAAATTAAATTTTTGTCACTTTCAGGAGTTTAATGATTTTCGATCAAAATGCGGTATGCTTTGGAGCTACGATTGGGTATCAATTCCATTAGTATACACACAGGTTGTTACACTGGCTACTTACAGTTTCTTTGCAGTGGCACTCGTCGGTCGTCAATATATCGAGGGAGTCATTAAACCGTTCCAAATGAAAGTCGACATTTACTTTCCAATGTTCACAATTTTACAGTTCTTTTTCTTCATGGGCTTATTGAAGGTTGGCTATCTGAAAATACACTGGTTTTTATAAACTGGACGCAATTATTATTTCAATTTTCGTTCAAAGGTCGCGGAACAGCTTATAAATCCATTCGGCGATGATGATGAAGATTTCGAGCTCAACTGGTTGATCGATCGGCACACCAAGGTAAGTGTTTGAAATGCAAATAAGTTTCGCTTTTTTCTTACAGACGTACAACTATCGGTTCACGTGTAAATACATATATTTAACTTTTACGTTAGGTCTCGTATCTTGGCGTTGACACATTGATGAATCGTTGCCCGCCTCTCGTTAAGGACATTTATTATGAATCGGAAAATATAATTTTACCCTACACGGAAGCGGCTGCCGCCTACAAGCGCAAAACGTATCGCGGTAGCGTGGCAAACATGACGTGAGTACACGTTCTTGTCAAAGTTGCGAATAAAACAGGATTTTTCATTCTCATAGAATATAATAGTCCAATCGTTATGCAAAATTTTTAAGCTTATTTTTGGTGCTTTTGCGTAAAAATCCTGTTTATCGTTACAAGTCTTCAGATTATAAACGAACAATAATGGTGTGTATTAGCTCCAGATTAAATTGACGAAGAAATCAGTAAAATAACGATGAAACATATACGTCCAATATAATAATGCCTGTATATTTTGACAATTCTATTTTACTTCGTCATTATTATATTAACCAAATTACAAAATTATACTCTCAAAATTTCACTAATTAAAGCTTGGACTTTCAATCTGTAGAGTACCCGAAGAAAAGCAAACGATGTTTTTGCCTGACATTATTGAGGAGGAGGAGAACGCCACTGGTAATATAACTCCACGAACTTCTAGTGCCAGTCTTCCAACGCACAATGATAGTCCATCTGAGAATAATAACAAACGGTAGGCTGTCACATACCTTTTCCGCTTAAGATTAATTCAGTTTGTCATTTAATATTTAATAGTAATAGTAATGCGACAGTTGGAATTTTTCACTAGACAGAGGAAATCTCAATCAAATAATAATGAATATAATCTTACTCATGCTTGATAATTAAAAAAAAAAAAAAAAAAAAAAAAAAAAAAAAAATTATCGAATTACAGTTGTGGTATGAAATTTACTGGTAAGCTAATTTCTAAAACATTCTATTTCAATTGACATTAAACAAGAAACAGAAGAATAAAAAATTATAAGAAAGCAAACGTATTGCGGACAAGTTTTTATGAAAGCGTAAAATACAATAACAAATCAAATTATGCAATTAAATAAACACATCAAATAATACTTTGTTTATTTTATACATAATTATTTTCAGTAGATGGAATTATTAATTGTTTAAATAGCTAGTTTATCAAGTTTTAAGAGCGTATGTCAAAATTAATTAAGATATTTATAATCCTATAGATATAGAGATTCAAATGAATACACATTTGTTTGATACTGCCTTTAAAAATGTCTAATGTTAATTAACATAACAAGCCCTTAATTAAATCTCATTTGTTTCAGCCAGGGTTACTCTTCCCCTCAATCAGCTAATCGAGCGGCTCGTGACTCTCGTGAAACAATCGTTACGTTGGATCTTCGTGAAGAGCTCGATCAGCAACAGCAGCAACCACAACAACAGTCTCAACAACAGCAGCAGCATCAGCAGCAGCAACCGCAACAACAACAACAGCAGAAGCAGCAATTACAACAACAGCCGCTACAGCAACAACAGCAGCAGCAACAGCAGCAACAACAACCGCAACTCCAACAGATGAAGCAACAATCGACTTCGATCGACCAAGTAGGAAAAGGCAATGGACGTTCGACCAGTGCTTTAGCCGAAGCTGTCAAAATGTTCTCGGTCAGAGGAAAATTCACGGATCACCTTCAGAGCCGAAAGCCCTTCTTTGCCCTAGCCAAATCCTCCAAGGTCAACATTCAGCCTTGGCCGAGTGCGACGAATCTTAAATCCGAGCCGGTAGTTGGCTCCATGTGGACTGAAAACGCACTGGAGCCTGGACAGCAAAGAAGAAAGTTGCATCAGACGCGATCATTCAACATTCCCAGCATCGATGTTAGACAGTCGTCGGTGGACGATGAGCTTGACGACGAGGATGACGAGGATATCCTCGACGGAATTAAAAGCGAAGCTATTGAATTCGCTTCGAAAAAACGCTCGCAGTAATGATACTTTTCTTATATCTTAAACAACCTTATTCTCTTACATTATATACAATCGAGTGGAGGGAGTTTTTCATCTTCTAAGCAAATTTTCATCTACTATGTTTAAACATAAATTTCATATCTGCATGAATTAATAGTTCAAATTCAAATTATGATCTTGTTTTGTGATATAATTTGGCACATTTTCAACAATAATGTAATTTACGTGAATTAAAAAAAAATTTTTAAGCGTTATAAAGTCCTAAAAGTATAAAATTCTATACAGGCTTAGTCGATGAAATTCTAAACTATTTAAATTGCAAAATTTATTCCCTTTTTTTTATCTATAATTAATTGACTATAAATTTTATCTATAGTTAATTAACAATATAAATTTGTTTTCGTAAACTTTACTGTCTAGTAATCATTATTATACTATTAGTTTTATTTGTAAATATTTTTTAGAAGTAAATTTTAGAAATTCAAAATTCACTTCTCATAGTATTATTTATAAGATTAATAAGAAACTCAAAACCAATATTTTTTATTATATATCTAAAATTTCTTCGAATTCATGATTGACCTCTAAATATTATCATTCATAATACAAACGATAATGACAAAACTTGCACTCGAATAATGAAAATCCGCACTGAAATATGATATGGATTATTAAGAATTAGAGAAAATATTTCTTTCATATTACTTGTCATACATACAAGCGATTGATATTTTTATCGACAAGTGTTGAAACACTGGGCTAGCGCGACTCTAATCAACAACTAACACTCATTGATGAAATAAATACAGGAGAAATCCTTAAATTGTACGCAGGATGATGTTTGAGCTACGGAGTAGAAAAGCTAATCGGAATTCGGTTGCGTACCGCAACTCCGGTGCTAAGGACACTCAAAAGCCGCACTGTAACTGCGATCTTACGAGCTCCAGTAGCAGTTGCTGCTGCAACGGTTCCTATTCTCAGCAACGACAGCAACGCTCGCAATCCCAGCGCTCGTCCACGAGGAACGAGCGCAGCACGAGGTCACGGGCGCACCGCTTCAACAGTTTTCCAAAATTCCTAGCGAAGCGGCAGCGAACGTCATTCCGTAGTCCAGGCATCCCAATCCCTTGCGGACGTCAGAATGAGTCCTTCGACGAAGGTCTTCCAGTGTCGAAGAGCTCGCCCGAGTTGGCGGTTGACGTCGACTTCAGCCAGTGCAAACACATGCGTGCGACATTTTTCACTGGTAACGAGGACGCGATCGAGCAGGATCCCGATCTGCGGGAAATTATTAGCAAGAGGTTCTGATCGTCGACCGATCAGCTTTCTTTTGTGCCCGTGTATATTATTATTATTATAATTATTGTTATTATTATTATTATTATTGTTATTATTTATCTGAATGGACGAGTGCCTTGTTCCTTGAACAAAGCTTCAAGGATTGTATAAGGATTGTACATTTTCATAAATACCATATGAAGGTTTCATAGATAAGTCAAGTACAAAATATGATTAGAAATTTGTTAAGTAATCTCACAACTGTCTTATGATGAATAATTTTATAAGGAACAGGTTGAAAGCATAATTTAACATAGTCTCGATAAATCTCAGTTATTAATAGGGATGCGTTCAAATATCATTAATCGCCGCTATATTACAGAAAGTTTATTACTTTTGATAGTGATTCATATTAAAAATATACATCAAATCACTACAATTTAAAATAATTTAATTGAAACTAAAATTTAATCACAATTGCGAGACCAACTGGCAAATTTTTATGTTACTTAGGAAATTATGTAAAATTATAGATACATATTATACAATAAGATTAAACTATGTAAAAAAAAAATATATATATATATATATTCATAAAAACATTATTTAACTACGAAATCATAAAAATGAATAGGTTTAATCATTTATATAATTTAAAATTAGCACATTATTCACATTAGCTAGATTTACTTTAAACTCAAAAGAATAAATTATTTCAATGCAAATACATTTTTGATAAAGAAATGCAAAGCTATTTTAATTAATAAATAATAATCTACTATAAACAATGAGCAAGTTTTATGTCCAATCTTATTCGTTTCACTCATTTTGTTTCCCTCTTTTTTTTTTTTTTTTTTTTTTTTTAATTAAAAAGAACGAATTTTTTATATATTGAGTAGTGTCTTCCAATATACATAATTAAATGATAAAGTACTATATATATTTAAAAATACGTTTGTGATAATGTTTTTCAAATGAAAAATATTTATACAAGCTTTTTTTAAAGATTTTTGTAAGAGAATTAAATTCATAATAGTGCATATTTTCAAGTATTTTAAAATTACAAATCTTTAATAGACACAATTTTATAGAAAAATTATTCTAAAAATATGAAAAAACTGTTAAAATACTGCCAATTTTAAAAATATTATATCATAATTAATGCTTATTAAATTAATTACAAGTTGAATCTTTGAATGAAAAGAAATAATGTCATAATTATAACATCACATCAATGTAATTATTTAATTTTTCAAAAGTATACAAAATTTTACTGACAATTATTTTAATTGAGCTGACTTTGCTTAAAATTAATTTTTAACTTTTCAAATTTTGCTTCAAACTTTAAAAGTAAATTAATTTGTAAATTTTACTGCATTTTATTTATTATGTTATTTAATATCTTGCTTTTACAGAAAATAGCTCGAGCCACTCTTCAATTTCTTCCTGTATATATTATTTACAGCTTTCAATAGGGTATACGTAATTTAAGTTGTGAGTTATAACTTTACAAACAAAGAAACAAGAAAATTATATTCGTTTGTACATCTTGAAATTGTGCCGTCTCTTATACAATATGGAGCAAGCTTATGTGTAAATACTGTAAATAGTTCCATAATTACATGTGTATTCTTTATCTCACGTGTATTTGTGAATGGTAAAAGTTCTTGCGATATTTGATGCTTTGGTGGTTCCAAAAAACTTCGAGCTTAATTATCGATTACAATATGTAAACGTTTTAACGTTAATTTCCATACGTATCGCGCGCCTTATGTAAAATAGATTTTAATGTAATTGGTGCAAATTTTGTAATATATAGGAAAGAAACCGTTAATCTAAAACATAAATTTATATTATTACACAAATATTTTATTTATTGATCTACTAGTGAAATATTTAAAATATTATTTTTGCCGATTCCTATAATAATTAATAAAACCTTGATATATATATCCTTCAAAATAATCCAGGATTGGTAATTATGAAATAATGGCATGTATAATCAATCAACACGATTTCATATAATCAATTCCATTTCTTTCGGCGTTGGATATGATTTGCTTACTGAAAATTTCTAAAAAGGCAACGTAAACATTTATCGAATCGATAAATTCGACATTTTTTATACCTACAGTAGAATTTAATAAGACGTTTTAATAAAAGTATTGCAATAATAATATAATTTTTCTAAAATAATATCTGAACACATTATTAATATTAAAATCAATATTCATTATTTTAAAATTAATATTTTATAAATAATAGTTACATAATTGAAAGCTCTTTAGATAAATGATTTTAGAAACATTTTAAAATATCTGTGTGTTTATTATTTTTATAATTAAATGTCTAGATGGCGCCACCCACTAAACATAGATTAGTGTATCAATAGTTTCAAATCTGTTACTTCTTTCTTGTAGTTTCAATGGTAAATATTATATTGTTTCCAAACTAAATGGAATATTTACAATAGAAATATATAAAAATAAACGCAATAAACGTTGTATTACGTGACGACACCTTTGAATTAAACCGAACAAATAAACATGAAATAACTTCGACGTAACCTCATTAATTTATTTATTACTTAATAAAGGTCATTGTTATTTTGACTTCAAATACGCATCAGGAAAGAAATATGAATATTTCATGTGCTATTTGTCACGATGAATTGGAAAAGTGTAATGATATATTCGGAACTCCATGTGGTCATGTATTTCACTTCCCGTGTCTTATTCTATGGCTTGAAAAGTAAGTTTTATAATTAATACTTTTCTAACTCTCGTTCAGAATTGTCTGTATATTTACAACATAGAATTTATTAAATGCCATTTCTTTGTTATTCTTACATCAACAATAAATGTATTTTTATTATTTCCAAACTTATTATACTGAATTTAAGCTTTACTAATATGTAATAAAATAATGTTAACGGTTAATATAATAAGTACTTTACATTACTAAAGGATTAATTTATGAATGCATACTTAAATTGATGTAATGTTCTTAGATCCTGCATGTAGTTTAATTAGTTCATTTAAGTAGCAAATGTTTTCAAATTTTAATTTAATTCCAAATAAATTTATTTTCCATTATAAAAATTTAATAAATAATTGAAATAGTGGTCTATAATTATATATATATATAGATGACTATATGTGCATGCGTGCATGCGTGTGTATTTATCTCATATTAATATAATTAAATAATTTTTAGAGCTCAAACTTGTCCACAATGTAGACGGAAAGTAAAACGTGATAGTATAACAAGACTTTATTTTAATTTTTCAAACACTGAAATTGTGAAAGAAGATTCGTTCACACTCCAACAAAAAGTAGATACTCTTTCATTTCAAATTAAGTTAAAAGAAACTGAATACAAAAATTGTAGTGAAGAAAATGTTGTCTTAAAAAGGCAAAATAGTGGACTTCGTGATGAAGTTAAAAAAACAGAGAGTGAAATAAATCAGAAAAACTCTGTGATATATGCTTTAAAAGAACAGAGTCAATATTTTAAACGAAAATGTCAGGACTTTGAAAAAATTCAAGAAGAAAAAATTAAATTAGAAAACAAGTTGGAAACGTATGAAAAGTATGTACTAAAAGTGTTTATACCAAGGAAAACCATTATCCATTCATTACTTAATATATAATTTATTAATTAAAATATAATATTTTATTGGACATATCTTTTAGTGTAAAAATCTTAGTATGCTCTACCAGTGAAGAAGTGGATAAAATGTTAAGTCGAACTACAGATATTCCTACCTTTTGCACATATATTAGTATTATGAAAAGGTGAGCAATATTTAACTAATTGTTTAATGATTCTGTTTTAAAATTTGTATTTTTTCTTAATTATCACTTGTTTTGTAAATTATTTAATCATAAATAGATTATAATATTTATTATAATATTTAAAATTAATTATAATATAATCATTTATAATATTTAAAAAGAAAAACTTTATTTTATAATAATAATAATAATAACAATAATAATAATAATAATAGAGATTTGTATATTATATTTACAATCATATATTATTTGTAAGATAAATGTTTTTAGGGAATTAAGTACTAGTCTAGAAAAGAGGAAAGAACTTAGAAGTACAGTGAAAACTCTGCAACAACGATTACAAACATTAAAAATGGAAAAGAATTCTTTTTCTCAAAACTACACTAAGCAAATGTACATAAATATTACTTTATATTAAAAATTGTATGTTAATTTTGTATTTAATGTACTAATATAATGTTTATATTTAGTGAACAATTAGAAAATGAGCTTTCGTTATGTCAAAATGAAAAAGGTATGTTGCAGAAAAGACTAGGGGAATTAGAATCGAAAGATAAGAATTCTGATAATCTGTTAGACGAGGCTTCCAAACCTTGTTCAGAAAATGTTTCCTCTCGTAAACGTGAAAGTGTCGAAGCGACAGATATTGATTCAGTTTCATCTAAAAAATTTCAAGGAGGAACAACTATTATGGTTTCGGTATATATTCTGTTTTTTTTTGTTTTCGTTTTTTTTTTTAATTGTTATTAAATTTGTTTACAATATCGTTTGACTTTACAGTCAGTTACAAAAAAAACTAAGGAAAATGAAGAAAATTCTCCTTATCTTCCAACAAAGTCAAAAAGTATTTTGGCATTAAAGTCTCAGGCTTCGCAACGCAGTACATTCCCAATAAAATCAAAACAACTCTCTTCCAAGAAATCTTCATCATTAAATGTAAATTATCTCTATTAATATTTATATAAAATGTTGAATGTAAATTTTATGTAAACTCCTTTTTAGTATAATAGCGAACAAGATTCTGATACAGTATTTGATGGATTCGGGGGACATTCAAAGATGGATGTATTTCCTATTTCTAATCCCACATCTAATAAATTAAAAAGACCTGCAAATCAGCTATCAAAAAATAAAAAAATCAAACTTAATTTTGGTGGTAACAAACAATTAGATGATTACATCATTAATTTAACATAAAAATCGAATTATTTCTAAATATTTATTTTTTAATAGAAATATTTATTTTAACGTAATGAAGCTGCTGTATACAAAATCAAATTCTTTTATAACATGTCATGTTCGTAAAGAAATTACGTATTTCACGATGATAATATTTGTTTTCTTTATACTTGTATACAGATAATGATATAATAAAATAGGGATTATTTAGTGTAATATTGGATCTGAAAGTAATACCCTAAAAATTAATTTCTATATTAGGACTTCTATAAAAACAGTAAAATAAAGAAACTGTAATTATAGAAATTTGAGATTTTTGTAATTATTAGCTTTTAAGTTGAAATTATTCATTAATTATTATATTTAATGCTTTTGATATTAATGATAATACTATTAAATTTACTTATTGATAATTTTAAGAGGAAAAATCCTTGCTTTCCTTATACAGCATTATTATGGTTATTCTATAAATACTAGATTTTTAAATATAATTTTTAACGAATTAAAAATTTCGTATTATTGACTGAATACATTTAATAATAATTTTAAATCATGGGAATTTTCCACAAATAATTAAAAAATGTTATTCTGTATTTGTTAAGTACTTCAATACTCGCTTATGGTACAAGCTACTTCTAATATATAGAAAGAAAAATAGAAAGATAAGAAGCAAAATTTTATATTGGAAAGTACGTTAAAGGAAATTATCATTTTACATTTTTGAATGAGTAATTTAATAGAGATAAATGGAAATATGCAAAGTACTCCTTATGTGTTATAAAGGAAAACTAAATTATACACAAATGATATTGTTACAATTTATGTTTGCTTCAAAAGAACTTTTTTTCTTAATCACTTAACTAAATATCATAATTTAATGTATTAATGTGTTTTTGCAACTGTAAAGACTTTTATAAAATACAAAATATACGATCGGCCCAAAAAGAATCATTTCCTTAAATAAGTTTAAATTTAAATTCAAGTTTCTCCAAGCAATCGCCGTATTTTTTTATTATATTAGTCACATATGTATATTAATATAATTATGGTAAATTAATTTTATATAAAAAGGAATTTTTAAGTATTAAATTGAATAATTAAATATGATTAATAATAAATAACAAAATGGGATGAGCTATTCTTATGAATAGATTTTAAATTAATGCGCAATAACAAAAAATCTGCTGAATAAATCTCGTAATCCAATAAATAATAACAATTTTATGCACATTGCTTACGACAATTATATTAAGTTATTAGAGATTATGTAAGATTAACTATACTACTTTTCATTTTTTTTAATATCTAAGTAAGCTAAAAAAATACTCCAAATATTTTTATTTAATTAGTCAGCACTGAATATCAGAATGTGATTTTGTATATTCTAATTTTAAGATCTTGTTTATATGTATTAAATAGCGATTATTTTATATAAAAAAATTACAATCATTTTTTCTAATGTTTTTATGTTATTTTTTTTAATATCATTATTATTCTTACACTTATTATAGTTTAACTAAAAAGACAAATTCATATGCTAATACAAAATACTTACAAAATTTAGTAAACTGATTTGTAGATAAATTGGTAACTAGTTACCTGCTAGTTTTTTAGACATTATTAATATATGTTTATGACAGATTTAAATAAAATAAGTCAAAAATACTTTTAAATAAATAAATGATTTATGAAAAATAATTTTTATGTATATTTATTCTCATTTTAGCAATTCCTTCTTATTATAGTAATTCTCAATTTATCAAAATTTTTTTTGTATTTTATAAATAAAGTATGTATAAAATTAGTATCGATACAGACGAATAGAATAAATATATTATGATGAAGTACGGAAATTAAATTCTTATACAGCACATTTCGATTCTATTTTTTACCCTTTTTTTCTATTTTTTATGGAAAAGTGATGATATCTGTTTTTGGTCTTGCAAATAAAAGTAATTGAAAAAGATACTTATACACTTTTATTAATAATACAATTGTTCTCATTAATTATATTTGATTTTTTACAAGAATAATTTATAAAACTTCGTGATCGGTTAAATTAAAAATTTTTATTACATTTCATTGTAATTGGTTCAATTTTTTTGCGGCAATTAGAATAACGTTCGAATATATAATAATAAAATTAGTTTTTCCGCTACTTTGAAATATATACGTGAAATCGTTTCACCGCGTAGAAGTAGAAATAAATTTTCAATTCTTGACATATATTAAGCCATTTCTTGTTTCATCGATTAATTTTGTCATCTTTTTTTATTGTTAGTCGTTCGTTCTTTTCATAACACAACCTATTTCTCAATTAAATATTAATTTATATTCTGGCTTACTCATCCAAAGGAAATCACTAGAATTATTATTTAAAAAGTTTGTTTTTACATTATAATGCTTTATTAATAAATATACATTTTATAATTATCTTTCAAGAGATATTCATACTCGTCCTTTGCTAATTTCTTTATAAATAATAAAGTTTAGCAATAGGTTTAAATTATTTTCATTCAGTAAAAGAATTACTGATTTAAATGGTAATTTATAATTACAAACTATTACACTTTTATTCGGTATTAATATTATTAATTGATGGGGATGATATTGTGACGAATGAATCGAAAGACTTACGACAAGACTATTTGATGCTACCTTTACCTCATACGAGAATATCATATAAAATTGTATCAGTCTTTTATCATAATTATTAATACAGGGAAGGATTTTTACCAAGTTGTCTTCTAATCGACTTATTCGCGGAAGATTATCACAGCATCGACAGAAATAAAATAATCTTAAATAATTTGATTTTCTACAAAATACAATTAATTTTTTGTAACATTCACAAAGCATAAAAATATTGTGGTAGTTAAATTTACATTATTGTAATTGCTATGCCCGCCAACGTTGTTGGAGATTTTCACTCGCAAGCTCGCTATAGTTGCTTCACGGATACGATTGGGTCGATTGGGTGTGTGCGGGCGCGTGTGCTTGCACGCATAACAGTACACGCATTTCGGAAGCACACGGGTGACAATTACGATGTGCCAGACGAGATTTTTTGCATCATGTTTAAGTTTACAAGCTTTTGCGAATGTTTATAGGGAGCGGTTTCTAATGACCATCATATATTTGCGGGTGTTTTAATTTTTTTTTTTAATTTTTTTTTTATAATTATTTTTATTATGTACAATGCGCGATGTCAAGAGCGGCACGCCTGTGCAACATTTTGTTTAAACATAATGTAATTTAGGAACGTTATAAAAATTTCTAAACGAAGAAAAAACTTTAGATTTAACTTTAGAATGAGATACGAGGTGCGGCTCGCTGCAACAGCCAGAAAATGCAGTCGTGACGTTAGTACGTGTAAGCACTTTTTTATTAATTGTTAGGCGAATATTGTATTATGAGCAGCATCCAGCGATAGGGACGAGATATATTAACAACCGCTGAGCTACCAGCGTAAAGCTCACATTAATCATGCATATACCAAGCAACTTGCGAAGTTATAAATAAGGGTGTTGTCCTGTTGATTTAGGTTTATTTACGGCTTTACTTTTCTAATCTTAAGCCTGGAAATCGAATGTAGTGGTGCACGGCGAATCGTAATTTTTATTATAACCTTCAGGCGTTATTTAATCATAATGCGACATTTTCTTATTACATTAAAAATAATTCTTGAAAGCATACGCCGATTACATTATAAAGTAATTAAACTTCGAAGCCTATACGATTCTATGAAGTTTTTATAAAAATATCAAGAAATGGCTCGTCTATAAAAAGACGAAAGATCTTCGCGTATTTTCCATGTTAAAATATCTATATTATTTTTTATGCACGGATAAACAAGAAAAATGCAAGGATAGTCATAGGAAAATATATTTATTGTGTATGCATGCATTATATAGAAAAAAGATATTTCGCTTTTTATTGGTAGTGAATATTGCTTGTACTTTATGTATATTGGCATATATCCATCTTGAATAATGTACAGTGATGTTATCCTGAATATTCCGCCGGAAAGATATGGTAGCATACCAGCTATGTATATAGTCATTAAAAATTATTGTAATCTCTGCGCATCTCGTATTGTTGTGAATTTTCGATGACATGGGAAAGAATCAATAGGCGAGCTGCGATTTATATTTTTGTTTTTGTTAGATGATATCTTTCGTTGTTGTAATCATCGACAAAGTTAGTAAAAAGTTGATAATACGAGCCTTTAAGAAGAAATTACAATATACACGGGATTTTTTATCCTCCACGTTCATTAAATTGCTATATATTCATGTGACAGATGTCTGTTGAAACGAAATGAGGGAAAAAATTTGCTCTTTAGCAAATAAGAAAGGGCTTTTTTATATTCTTCTGGTGTTTCAAATCGAGGCGGTATATAATAATTTTAGCTACCATATTCGAGTAAGCGGATATGTTGAAAAATCTGTATGTTACATTCATGTCTATTATCTATTGGCTTTGGATTCATTTTAAACTATAAAATGCTGTTTATTTGATTAAATATTGAAAGAATTTTTAATGTAATTTTTTTTTTGTTCAACTTCTGCTTCAACAAACTATAAATATGAATCTGTGAATAAAATTCATACTCTCCAATTCCTATTTGAATAATTATTTTCAATCTTACTTTTTAAATGAATGCTCTTGAAATAAAAATAATTGAGTCAAGTTACGAGCACTGCAATTTCTGTTCCTAATATGTTAAATGTTTAGTACCAAAATTTCTACATTTACATATACGCATCGGAAGAATTTCTAAAATCAATTTTATTTTTTTTTATTTCATATTATCACAACAATCCATCAATATATTCATTAATTTTTTTAATTTTCATTATAGCGTAATAGTCGATGGAGATAGTTTAAGATAAGTAATAGTACAAACGCAATTATTGCATTATGGTTAATTTATAAAATGTCGTTCGATGTATTTTTATTATTATTATTTTTTTTGTTACATTGAATGGCTAAAGAACGTTGTATTGCCAATAGATATTTATTTATAAGTGTTCCGTTAGAGTGTTATTTTTTTAATTAGTATATCATACGAATATTCCTAATTTTACTGTAATATATTTAAGACTATAATTTATATAAAATAAATATAATTTACAGAATTAATATAAGAATGTAAAAAG